ACAGATTACTCAGTAAAAACAACTGCAATGATTGTTCTTCAAAAATGTAGTCATATATGAAGATCAGGATCACAGCCAGAGACAGGCAGGAATAACCACCACTGCCACATTCCCCTTTCTCATTGTCATTGATCCAATCCTGCAGATTCCACAGCTGCTTCGGAACCTACTTGAGAACAAAATCTTTTAAATCACAGTAGGCCTCTTTAAAACAAAGTCCTTCCCAGTTTAGAGGACCTCTTGTGTCTTAAGGTAAGGTTCTCACCTGAGTCCAAAACCTTTTAAGTGTAGCTTGCATAAATTGGTGAGGAGAATTCAAAGGTGTTATAGCTGAAAAGAAAATTCTTGCTTGAGCAAGTCTACTGAAATTGGAGGAATTCTCACTTGAAAAGTTCAGGTATCAAGTCCTCCTTCTCCTCAACTCTATCTTGATTTGCTTCTTTCTAGATATCAGCAAGGTTTATTTACCTTCCTCAGCAGTGCTCAACAGTGCTTTCAAAAGCATTCACCATCTTACCCTGTTTCATCAATGAAAAACTTTTGTGAGATTTTTCTCTAGAACATCTCCATGCTAACAGAATGGGAAATTATGTATGTTCATTAAGCAAGGACTTTGGTAACATTTTAGGTGAAGATTTGTATCACCGAGGAGCAATTGGAAAGGATTTTACCATTTATTATTTTATAAATTTAGATTAAGAAATGTTTAATCATGCATTATTGTCTTAACTCCCATAATACAGTCTGTAAAACAGAAAGACTGAGAATGTAAAATGGATAAAGAAAAATGTCTTTTAAAATGCACAGTTAATCTGTGGAACTCATTGCCATTAAGTTTCACTGATGCTAAAGAGCTTAGCAGGTTGTCTTTACTGGATTATCACGTGTATTTGCTTTATCCATGCAAACATCGCATTATGCAAGATTAAAAAAAATGATAAATTCTCATGCTTCAGGACTAAGCCAACTTCTAAATAATAAGAATTAGGAATAAACTTCATGGCTTAGTTATTTCAGATTGTCATTTGAGAAGCTTCTTTCGCTTTTCTTATAAGTGACTATTTCTGGCTAATGGCATTGATGAGGAACTGAGCTGCATGAGCCACAGGACTGGGTTTTCTGTACCCATCATGTACTCTGAAACCTGGGCACTGATCGGCTTTGCTCAGTGTTTTGCAGAAATCAAGCTGTCTGTATTCTGAGTGGAACAAGTTCCTGTGTAAAGTGGCCTTTGACTGCCCTCAAGCCAGTAGCCTCTCTGCATTTTTGCTCAAGCATTATTCACTCAGTTTAGCTTCATGTTAGCTTTATTAGTTTAAAAGCATAGGGCCTGAGGGGGTATCAAAGGGATCTCTGAAACTGAACAGATCTGTGTGTGTGTAAAATGAAGTCATCTTCCTGGTTGGGCGCTCTCATCTCAAACTGTATGACTGCCATTGATTGTTGGTTTGCTGATGTCCGCTCAGGGAGGAGATCAGTCTCAGCTGGGTCTAAGGCCACATCAGCTTTTCTCTGTGTTTCTGTCACTAATTTCCACCACTTGTGCTGTCTTACACAGGACTGTACTCCCTCAACTTGACCTCCAGATCTGACCCTAATTCAGGAATGCGTGCTCAGAATCACTTACAAGTATTCCACTTTATCGCCCTCATATTCGTTGCTGCTTATTACTCGTTACAATTAAGAAGGCGTGCTCTGAGTAGAGGAAAATACAGGTCACGCAATAGCTGTGATTCTACTGTCCTTACAAAAATTAACACACTACACAGGCTGCTTTCGGGATTCTTAATATTCCTAAAAGACTGAGGCAAGTTAGACCACATCATCTTTTGGCTATCCTCCAAAAACTGTGAGGGGGAGAGCCTGAGGTAAGGAGTTAGGGACATTTGTCCTTTTAAACTTTTAAAACAATTTTGAGCTTGTGCACATGTGAATGACAAGTATATGAATTCAGGGGGATGTTATCTGAAGGACAGTCAGTTTTATGGCCAGTTTTTTGCTGCACGTGATCTCAGCTTCTTAGGAAAACAACTGTGTTCTCTGTGTGCGGACGCCTGCTCCCTCCATTAACTGGATAGTTGTTTCAGCCACACGTGCCTGAGGAGCACAAAGGTAATTCATGTCTGATGAAGTTTGGTTTTGAAATAAAAAAGGGAAAAGAAAAAGGCTTGGACAGAGGAGGCTGCGCCCACTACGGTAAAAGCTAAATGCGTGCTCGTATGCAAGGCATCAAAGAATCCATCCTGGCAAAATATCTATAAACATCCCAAATAAGGAGACAGCTTTAAGAATCACTCGCTATCAACAAGCAGATAAAAAGTTATCAGGCTTTAATGGTTCTAATCTCAGAGAACTGCTTGTTTATCAGCTGCTCTACTTTTCTCAAACCAGTAGTTTTAGACTATTTCATGGAGCAGAAGCAATGGGGAGTTTGGTTCTTGTACTGACTGAGTGAGGACGTTTTCGCCTTTTGTTCCTCCTGTGTTCTCTCTGATTACGGGTTGGCATTTTGCTCGTTGAGTCACTGCACTGCTCGGCCGCTCCGTTTTACTGTTACGATACAGGGAAGCATTTCCCCCCAGATTTCATGGCCTGACATCTAACTGCTGTGATTTAAATTTATTGGATTCAGACACTGAAACTGGTTGGAATACAGATTTGAGATACTCACTTACTTTTAGCAGTAGGTTAGTCTAACTTCTTAAAACTCCTCTTGAAACTTGAACCTGCTTTTCCTTAACTAATTAACATGACTAAGACCATAGTTGTCATACCAAAACAGTGATGTAGCCGCCTGTGAACTGTTTTTCATCCGCGAAGGCAGTGGAAGAGTTAAGAAGGCAGGGCTGTAACTGACTGGTTTCCTGGGGCGCTTTGGCAAGTCCCCGGGACCAACCCCCCAAGGTAAACATTAAGGTGCAGTAGGTGTATCACTCTGTGCAGAGTTCAGCCCTGTTGCTTACAGCTTGCACAACTTGTAGCACATCAGAACACTGTGGAATCAATGGCTCGCCAGAGTTTCAAGACATGATTAAAAGACTCAAGAAGGCCCTGAAAGAATTTCCTTTAATGGGGAATTGTGTGAGTGAGTACAGTGGGTGAGTTGGTATTTTTTTCTTTCTTCCTTTCTAGCTGTTGGTTTACTTTGGCAAAATGCTTCTGAGCTTAGGTTTAGTGTATGTGCTTGCATGTGTCTGGTTTGGAGAATGAGTCTTTCTGTACCTCACCAATCAATACTAAAAAATTACTTTGAGATATGATAATTCCTGGTTTGTGGCAGTGACAGAACTGTAAAGCTATTAAAATCTATTTCTTGTTAAAGAAAATATTCTTCTTGAGGATTGCAGGTATGTATATGATTTACAGCAACTACAAGTCTTTAGTTTAATTTCTCATAATCTTGAGAGCCTTGTTACTGCTTTAATTTTATGTATGCTTTACTCTGAAATTATATTAGGTTAACTCTTTAATGTGGATATATTTATGGCACATGGAATGTTCTTCACACCATTCCTATGCATGGTACTAAAAATGAACAAAAAATTTTATGCTGATTAAAGATTACGTCTTTTTGAACTTATGCCATTTTTTCTCTTTTACTAACAAGTTCTAATGAGTTTTGTTTGTATCAGCCTGCAGTTAAAATTCATGAGTCTGAGTAGAAACAGCATGTGCGCGCTGCACTGTATATGGGTCTTCTGTTATGCAAAGTATTGGCATGTTTTAATCTTTGTAGTCTGGGATTGCTAGAAGATTGTGTACCATGATTTTCAGTATTTTGGCTTTGGCATAGAGACACGTATGCCTATAATTTATGTTAACCCTTTGAGGATATAATTTCTCTTTCCACTATAAGGATTTGTATTACAGAAACTCAGCTGCTCTGCCTATTTAAAATGCATAGTTTTTGGGTTTGTTATATTAAGTTTTAAATCTTTACCACAAAAATTAAATATCTGTACAAATACATGAAGTGGTGATCATCTTTTGAAGGAAGGGCCTTACTCCTATCCCTTATGGAGTCACAAGTACTTAAAATTCTTGCTGTTCTGTTTGATCAGGCTGTAATAATAACTAGTGAATAGGACACATGCTCTTGAGATTTGGCCTATAATGAGTATTTGTTTCTGTGAGTGAAAGAGCATAAAGGCACGAAAGTATTTTCACTCTGACATGTTTTATGTGGCGTATTATTGATAATTGCTGCTATGTTTCCGATAGGATTGGGGTTTTTTAATAAACCTGAACATTTTTTAATATCTATATGTAACACATAATTTTGAAATCATACTGCAATAAATATATCCGTGGAAAACAATTGAATCCATGATTTTCACAGTTTTGTGCTATAAGTCATCACAGTTTGATTAAAATTCCGTAGCTAAGAGCAAGCACAGAGGAATGTCTTCCTGGCCTTTTGCAACTGGCCTAGTGCAGGTGGATTTTAGTCCTGGAGAATTTTATATGGGAAATCGATTACTGGCTTAGATGAGCTACTGGTCTGTTTCTCAAGGTGTCAGTTCTCAAAGTCCTGCCAGTGTATGAAAATGTGTCATTAAAGTTTTAAGCATTTATTAAGACTCAGCAGCCCCCTTGCTATACCTCAGTATCTTTGATGAAGGCAAAATTGTTCTGATTGGTAAAAACCACTTTAAACCCCGCTGCTGCCCTATGTGTCCTACACGTTTTATGCGGAATCGTGCCTGCATATATATGCACACATCTGTTGATTGCAGGCAGCTGTAAAATATTTTATTATCCCTTTTGTATGAAAGGCATGAACTACGCCATGTTACTACTTCAGTCAAAAGTTGTTTCCTCTTATTAAGGAAAATAAACATTGTAGAAAGTTGTTCTTAAATAAAGGAGGGCGAAAGGAGCTTATTTCTTTACCAGTTCATTCCCTTTCCTGCAGATATTTAATGCCTAATCTGGTATTTTGCCAGTAGGATCTAGTACCCAGCTTTGGTCTCCAGGTGATTTTGTTTTGCTTGTTTCAGTCAAGTGCCCGACGATACGACACTGGAGGATTTGTCCCCTCGTGTTCCTAGAGCCGTGTTTGTGAAGCAGGACAATGGCGGCAGTGCCTCAGTCATACCAGTATCATCTGTCCGTGTCCCACAAGGGGACGAAGAAAAGGAAGAAGCTTCAAATTCTCCTGACTTAAATCCTTGCAGTGCTACATACAGCAATTTAGGTAAGTGTATTCTTGTGGAAGAAAATTTAAATTAGATCAGACTGTGGATACCTTTCCAGCCTGTGAAGAACCTTGTCTTCTGAACAGTTCAACACTTTCATAAGGTTAGTTTTTAAAGACAAACTTTTTAATCTTAGTTTATAGACAATAAAATTATGTTGTCTCATTGTGATACACACAACCAAGAAAGTGAAGATTTAACAAACCCAAAGGTTTTCTTCCTGTGATTTTAAAACTCTTTTATTTGCCCTTAATGATAAACATCTCAAATATTTTTTTAAAAGATACTGTTTTATCTATGTGGAGGAACTTTTATCAAAGAGGTTTAAAACACAGAGCAAATTACTGAATTTTTTTAGAAACAATAAGTAGATTTCAATATTTTTCTGAACTTCAACAAAAGATAGGAATTCTTATTTTAAAGCATCAATAACTGCTAAAATATTTGTAGTCATCTTTTCTTGACTAAAACCTTTCTTAACCTGGTCTGAGAGTTTATTTTTGCTCCTTCAGAAAAGTTTAAGATACGAATGTCCTGAAGGTACTATCACTGAGTTCCTGACTTGTATTAAAAAGAAGATAAGTGAGCAAGACAAATAAGCATCTCCAGATATATAGTATCAATATTATCAGCCTAATTTTCTACAGCATTTTGAAGTACTGCAAATTCAGGAATACCTACAGCCAGATTTTCTAAAAGAACGAAAATCTCGCATTTATTTATGTTCAAGAATATCTGAATACATGTTTTTCAGTAACACTTCAACCCTGTAAGCATCCCAACTTCTTAAGCATTTGGACAAGAGTAAACTGACTGCACTGAGATGCAGGTGTAAGGGTTTGGCATGCGCACACAGGTTTGAGGGATCAAGGACTATTAAACCCTCAGGTGCATATGTTCCTTAGACATTTAGCGCTACTGCTGCATTTTTTTGCTTAAATATAAATTAGTGGCGAACTTATTAGTCTGTTCTGCTAATTAATTAATTAGGTATTGTTTATAAAGCATAAAGAGGAAAAATGTCCTGCCCAAGAATGATACTAACATCTACCAAGAAACTATAACTTCAAGGAGGAAAAGTAAAATTTATATTTTTGTGGTGGAATTATTCAAGGATCTAATTAATTAGTTTCAGTTCACTGAGATACACATATATACCTGTATCCCTATATTTTCTGTATATGGGGATACAGTATATATTTATATATAATATGTCCTGTATTTAGGACATAACCACATCACAGAATCCAGGTAGTAGATCTAGCTACATCAAAACTATTTATAGCATGGTTAGGCCTTGTTCCTAACCAGACTGACATATAAAAGGATCAGTCTAAGGTATCATTTAATGTATGAAATATCACTTATTCCTCATGGTGAGATTATGAGCATTTTGGCTAAAATCCAGCCGAAAAGGAATTACTTGAATTTCATAGCCGAAGTAATGATACTGTGAATCTTCTGTGTAAGTCTTTACTCAATTTATCTCAATTTTCTTGTGCAAGATGGTACATCTGCTTCATTGTGCAGAGTGCATGTGCTTCTGTCCATAGATCTGTGTCCGTCCCACAGCATCTCACAAACTAGGAGTTGTAAATTCATGGGAAATGTAATAAAATACCATTAAACACTGGAACAGGTTGCCCGCAGTTGTGAAGTCTCCGTCTGCGGAGATACACAGAACCTGACTGGACGTGGTCCTGGACAACCTGCTCCAGCTGACCCTGCCTGAGCAGGCAAGGTTGGACTTGACCGTCTCAGGAGGTCCCTTCCAACCTAAATGTTTCTGTGACTCTGATCACTTCCATCAGTCCTCATTTTTGCCGGTGTTGTTCTTGTGTGTGAATGTTCCTTTGTAAAACCATATAAAACCAAACCCCTTAGCATTTTATTCAAAATCTTCTCCTCATCCTTGGGTCACTTTCAGATTTTCTGTCACCAAAGTAAATTTTAGGTATGAAAGAGTTAAATTAACTTTTAGGCTTGACTTGGTCTGGCTTGGCAAGCTTGCTGCTTGTTGTTAAAAGCAATGCTACCCTAAATGGCACTGAGTTCTCTGGCTGCTGTTCAAGCTTTCTTCTGGTTTATTCGAGCAACCTCACTTTCTAACTCAGATGGCTATCAAGCGATTACTAGGTAGGGATACAGAAAAATTCCTACTTGTTTTCATGCCTTACGTCACTTAAGCAGGAAACCCATGTATTTTGTAGAATTAACAAATACTGATGTGTGTAACTGAAGGAAAGGATAATACGAGAATATGTAATATAATTTAAGTTACATCACATTTGACTGCTGCTTTAGCTGCAACTGTACCTAGAGTTACCTTTATAGCTACATGTTACAGCTTCTAGTTTGTAGAATACATCATGTGAACATCATCATTTGTAGCACAATGCGCAATATTTGCTTTTTAAATACTAATCTAAAACATATTCTATGTTTTTTATTGAAAAGCAGATAATACTATGCCCTTTGATACATGTCTAATCTTCAGTTGTAACATGTCACATGAAATGTTACGAACAGAAGTAAATGGCAAGCTTTGGTCAGTTTTCATCTGCAGTCAGGCAGTGGTTTGTATCAGATACTGCCCTCATATATTTGGGTTTGGCCTTCCCCTGCTCCCATAGGAGCTGTTTCATCATCACTTTACAGTCCTGCCCACAAAAACTGCAAGCGTGCCAGCAAGTATGTGTTTGGAACCAAACTGCAGCTAAAAAATTTGAGAATGGCTCATGCATAAAATATGGACTGTATTTGTTAGTTCATCAAACATGTAAAATCATGCATCTGGGAATTAAAATTAAAAAATAAAATGCAGACAAGCCTTACAAGATAGAGGATTCTCCTCTGGGAATCAGATACAACATAAAACGCTTGGGGCTTTCAGGAAACCTGAGGTCCCACCATGATGATAGGCTAAAAAAGCCCAGTATGTTCCTGGGTGTGTAACAGGAGGAAACTTCAATAGGAGTACAGAGGTTATGGATATCTCATGTTTACTGCCATGGCCATAGTCAAGCCCTGGTGACCACAGTTTAAGAAGAATGTTTAAAAAAAAATTTGTGCAGGTTCTAAAGAAAAGTTTTGAAAATGCCTAGTATTGTGACAGGCGCTTTATAGTGACTAATTCAAGAAGCTGGATCTGCTTAGCTTATCAAAGAAACAGAGCCTGGCTTGGTCCTGGTGTGAATGCTCATGTGGTGAGCGGCACTGTGATGAGGGATAGCTTTGGTGTCAGCAAACAGTTAACAAAATCCAGCGGCTGCCGGTTGAATCTAGATGCAGGATCAAATGTTCAAATGTGTAAGGTAGGGCCTGGATGTTTCTTTTTAAGGTGTGCCCTTATTCTAACAGAAGTTAATTCAGGTAGGTTATGATAAGGAAGACAATAGACTAGATGATTAAAATCTTTTCCTTTACAAATCTTTAAATTTTTCTATCTTTGTCTGAATTTCTTGGGGAAATTAACTCGATTGAATTTGCATCACTGTAAGTAGATTAAGGTATTCTCAATATACTCAGGATAGTATTTATGTCATTTAAGAAATAATAGGTTCTTTTATTAATAGCTATTTTTCTCCTTACAGCAAAGAAAAGATGAAGAAAGGAGGCTAAGTTTCTAGGGTTTATGATTGCTGACACTGGAAAAAATCCCATGTGCCGTAGAGTATTGCTTCAGTAAGTTAGACCAGGGCGGTGTTAGCCAGGCTATAAATAAAGTAATGAAATCATGGTTGACTAAAACTGACAGTTCAGTGACAGATGATGATTACAGTATCAGTCTGATGCCTGTTGCATAATATATAATTAGCGCAGGTAATATCTTTAACATGGTGTAATGGAGGACGGGTAGCAAGACCTGACAAGTCACCAAGGCAGACAAGCTGTTGCAGCTGAAGTTTTTCTTTATTCAGTACCTGCAGCCCCTCTTACTATAGCTCCCAGCACAGTCTCAAACTACTGGTAAGCAACTGGAGATGCATCACGAATGTTACTTAACAAACGTTACCTTTCCTTTCTGTTATACATATAATCATATTCTGTTAAGGTTTTTATCTGTTAAACTAATGATAAATGTGTAAACAACTGAGTATAATACAGGATTAATGAGCGTGTTGATGTAAATCTGTGAATATTTTATAGAACAGTGTTGTACATGTACTGCATTGAATTGGGGCTGTGAAGCACGCTGGTTGCTTTTGCAGTGGCTGGAAGATACTTTCAAGCATCTGTGGGTTTTTTCATGGTTTGGTTATTTTTGTCAGGGTAAGAGTTTACTAAGGAGTGATATATTTTCTACTGGTATTAAAGATCAGTATAAGTGATCTGCTACTTACATGGAGAAATATTTTCCAGGCTCTTTGTTATAATACAAACACAGATTGCAAAGGTTGATCAATATCCAAGTACAAGAGGGGGGAAGAAAGTACTAGGACGAGAGTAGAGAAGGGGAATTTGTACAGTGAGATGGCCAACCTGTGAATTTTACTTAGGGAATACTTTGATCAGCCTTGATAACTGGACTTTGTAACGTGAAATGGGGATGTACTGACATAAGAATTGCTGGGACGTCTGATTCTATTCCTGGCTGTGGGGAGAAACAGGTCAGCAGAGGCTGCCAAAGCCTGTTGGACTGCTCCAGGATCCAGCTGTGTGATCAGCCCAGCCCTGTCTTACGGTGGATTTCCTGCAGGCACTTGAGCCACTCGAAATTCCTCTTTCTTGCTGGTCTCTACTGTAGAAAGTCCACGGTTTTGATTTTAGTTCTGTTGGGGTTTTGATAGATGTGGTCTTGGAAGACTGTTTTACCTATATTGTACATGCATTACTATTAATTTTTTGCTGTTCTTGGCAATGCAAAACATGGGATTTTTGTCAAACTGATGTGATAAGTTGGAGAATGGCAGAGGTGAGAGTCATGTTGGCCAATTTAACCCTCTGGGTCCTGTTCATTCATCTGATGCCTGCACTAGAGGATGAGGGATTAAGGAGTACTATAATGGTCACTACAACTGAGAACAGAGTTAGTTATCAGGCAATAGCCTAGTTACTACTATGAATACTAGAGTATTGTTTTCAGCTCTGTTTTCTGATTCACATCTTCCCATGAGGGACATTATCCTTGGGTGAGAGGTGGTAACGGCATATAATCAGAAAAACGCTTTCAACAATAAAGGAGAATATAGGATAGATTACCGTGTCAAGAGTAAAATGAGTTTGGAGAAAGTACAGAAGCAGCCTGCTGTAATTGGTGTATTGGACTAACATAGGTGATGTATTGTAGAGCAAGATACGTCTCAGGACTAGTTCTATTCAAGACAGGATGGAAGCATGCAGCATGTCACCCACTTGGCTTGCCTAATTCACCGTTAGCTGTTTTTCCAATTAAAGAAGCATTTTCCTTCACAATTCTGAAATTTCTTGACCATGTATACTGCTGATCTGGTCTAAGCAAAAAAGATACCTGGACTGTCAAGAAATCTAAACAATAATTATGCATGTCATGACTCTAAGAAAAATGTGCTTATGGAAAATAAATTTGAATTAAACCTGAGCTTAATGGGTCAGGTTTGATAGTTTCATGAGCTAACATAAACAGGTTGCAAAGCAAAGTCTGACGATAAATCAGTTACCTGGAAAAATAAAATTTATGTGCCTTTTTTTAGAGCTGATTTAGAGGTTTCAGTCTTCGGTATGGTGTCTGGACACTTTAAGTATTAATATTTAAATAGTGTAGTGGGATTCTATAATGGAAGATGATATTAACTGTAGAATTACTTAAAGCTCTCTAGAAAGCTGCTGTCTATAAAGAGTTAAATTTTTTCTGACTTTGAACAGTCTCAGAAGCTACTTCAAAGACCTCTGTAAGTGGTAGCTAGTGTTGTGCCTGTTCCTCCTTTTCATTTGCCTCCCATAAGTGTAGCTCAGGTTGAACCTTGTAATGTTGGAGAGTCTGTGCAGTAGGTACGGAAATGATGGGTTTAAAGCATGCGAGGGGAGAAGGAAATGATAGGCAAGAAAAAGCAGCAAATGCTCTGCCAGTACTTGTATGCAAAAGAACATTATTGTGCCTTTGACAGGGACAAAACTTAGGATGATCTTTTTCTTGTTAGACAATGAATTTAAAAAAATGTGGGACGTGCAGTATCACAGCATGCTTGGGGAAAGCTGAGCTTGAAAAACTGGCCCAATGGGCATGAAAGAACATACAGCATTGAGAACTCAGCATAAAAATAGCCCAGGGATGCAGCTTTTCAAACACGTAATACAGATGGATAGATTTCAATATGGAAATATGAATGGAGGAGAAACTATACTGCGACATGACATGTTTTACAAACTCATTTTCCCCAGCTGAGAGTCCTTGAAGAGGTAACTACATAATGGCTTGTACCTGCAGTTCTCTGGATCCTGCCACCCCCCCCAGACACCTGCAAAGACAACTTCTGTTTATGAAAACCTTCTTCCGTTATGTTTTGATGTTACAGTTCCAACAGATGTGCAAAAGCAACAACTAGCAAAAGTCACTGGTTGCAGTCATGACACTCTTCTGTATGAATGGCTTTTGGAGGACAGGGCCGTTAAAGCAGACAATAAGAGAATCAAGAAGAAACGCTGTTAAAAATCTTACCTTTCTTGGAGAGGGCTTCTGCTGCTGCTGCTTGAGATACACATCTTGCCCTACTTTGTGTTCTTGCCTTCTTGGATGAGCAAGCACACAAGCGATGCATATTGGGAAACTGCCTCCTGCAATGGTAGCCCTTCTCAAAACCCCAGCAGCTGGCAGGCTATTTTAGCGTAGTGGGGAAGAGGGTAAGAATCAGACAATAGGCAAGTGATCTTTAACACAGAATGTTGCAAGGGGGAGAAGCACATAGGTCACAGATTTTGTAAGAGTAAGCAATTGTGGAAGACAACACATGTTTGGATGAGTAAGAAAATTGGACACAAAGTAGAAATGAACTTCTCAGGATTATGCAAAAGACTGTGCCATCTGGACATGTGTGTCTAGCATGCAGACATCAGTTCTGCTTCTGACTCTAAATCATGCCACTCTTCATGGCTGCAAAAGGTACCTGATAGAGCTCCTGTACTGCTCAGCTGGCACCAGTGTTATATGCTGCAGCATATCAAATGGTGAGAGGAAGAGCTGCTGTTGTAGAGCTCTGCCATACCAAGGTCAAAAAGGAGCAGCAGATAGTCCCCTGAGTGTTAAATTTTTTTAAGCAACCTTGGCAATGATTTGAGAGAGATAGGCAGGGATTCTCCAACATTTCTAGCCTTTGAATATACTTATTTTGTGGTAGCTAAAAATGGATGACCCCGGGGAGTAATCCTATGCAATCTTCCCTGAGCATCATGCATGTAAAAAGCTAAAGAATTTCCTGCTCAAAATTCAGGTTTTTAAACATTGGAAT